ATTAATTTATTGCGAAAAATATTTGATGTTTGCGTATTTTTTAGTCGTATTAATTGCAAAAAATATTATTAATGCATGACTAAAAATATTCAATGCAATATATAAGAAAATAAAATATTCATGAGTTTTAGATAAAAATAATTTATTTACATGATAACTAATAAATATAAAATAAAAACAATACTAATAATAATAATAATAATGATTTTTATAAAAGAAATAAATAATTTATATGATAATAATAATAATAATTATTAAAATAAGTAGGAATTAACAATAATAATAATTATTATTATTATTATAAAATAAAGAAAAGGATAAGATAATATAATAATTATAACAAAAATAGGAAATATAAAAATTATGTAAAAAAAATAGAAAATATTTAGTTAATAAAAGAAGGGGTGCATTTTTAATTCTGGCAGTAGAAATAAAGGGTGTTGTTAGAAATCTGGGCTAGGCCCAAATTTGTTTTCTGGAAGGGGGGTGTATTGTTGGCTACGAGTTCGTAAAACATGCGAATGGGGGTGTTAAAATTAATTGGGCCTGACCCATTACGTGAATTGGAGGTCCGGTTGGTTGAGTGTAGCGAGGGCGCATGAGCTTACTATGGGGACTTGACCTTACGCCCGTCTGATACGTATCTAAAGAACAATGGTGAGGGAGTATGATAATTATTACAGGTGTGTGGGCACCTGATCCGAATGAAATACAAATTTGTTTTAATCATCATTTTTTTACATTTCAGTTTCAATTTGTTTTTGTTAAAGCAAACCCCTTTCTCTCTCTCTTTCTCGTTCCAAACCCTCTCTCTTTACCCCTTTCTAACCCTAACACCCACCCCACCTTGGCGCCACAAACCCCATATCACCGTGAATCAACCCCCCACCCCCCCACAACCCACAAACAAAAGCAGAATAAGCTAAGTTGGTTTACCTCCCTCGCGATACCGATCTCTGTTCTCCCTTTCCGATTTGGGCTAATCCTTCTCCTTCTCTTTGAATCGCAGGTCACGGTGAAGATGGCAGTGAAGTGTTGGGATGGCCAGTGGAGGCGGACGATGAAGCTTGTGAAAGTTAGCAACAACGATTATGGTTTCAGAAGTTGAAACCCTAATCGTCCTCTTTTTGGGTCTTCAACAGATTTCGTTTGGTGTTCCTCGCGTTCTTCAGTATATCTCTTACAACAAATTTTCTCCAACTATGGTCTTCCCCTCTCCCCTCTCTCGTATTCCTGTTTCAGTATATATAGGCCTAGGGTTTCAAGCTTTTGATTTAGGTATCTTTTGAATAAATTAGGGAATTAGATTTGTTCCTCATTGATTCTGTATGTTTTGGATTTGATTATGTAAGATTTGTACTGATATTGGATTTTCTGTTTAATAGAGATTTGATTTGTAACAAGGATTCTGGGACTGGATTTGATGCTGCATTTTTCTATAATTTCATTGATTTGATTTGGTTTAATTTTAGTTTTTTTAGATTTTCTATTAAACAAATAATCTGAGATTTGATTTAATGAAGATTGAGTTTTGCAACGATCTCTACAATAATTGTTAAACGAGAAAACAAGCGTGATTTTAGGTTCAATTGGTACAGTATCTGTTAACTGTGTTTTGGGCCTGCGTTACATTTTTTCAGTCCAACATCAATACTTTACAACAAGATGATTGGGCTTTAATAAAAAATTTAATTGGGCTTTGTGTTACTTTACCTCTTTTGCCCAGCAGTATTATACTTGTTACAACAAAAAAACGTTTTTTTCCTTTTAGATACAACTAGGCCCAACTGCTTATTTATAAACAAAACCTTTTATTATTAAAAACATGATTTATTAACATTAATAATAAATTACAAAATTAATTAATGAAAATTACCAACAATAATTTTGTTCAAAAATACAAAATGGGCCACCAGCAATTTTTCTAGCGCCTTTTCTTTTCAATTCAGATTGGGCCTCAATTGGCCCAAACAACAAGCAACCAAGTAATTGTAAAAACCATTTCTTTAAATAAATAGTAAAACATTAATGGGCATAGTAAAAAAATGTAATGAGCCTGTATTCCAAATTGTACCTCCCTTTTTTACTATTCATTACCTAAAAATGATATGGACTTTTAATTTTGAAGTAACACCCCCTTCTTACTAACAACTACCATTCTTAAATGGGCTGACGTAATTAAAAACTTAATAATTATTCGAAATACTATTCTATTTTTGAATCGCACGGGCCATTGACCAACATGCTTCGTGAATGGGTTTATGAGTCTTTCTGATTTAGAAAGCCCCACTTTCTTGAAAAATACACCCCATAATTGACTCTAATTTAAGAATGGGTCATCATATATTTTTGTACCATCCTTAATTAAATATTTCTTCTATTTTAAACTTGAAAAATAAAATCATTGAGGTAGGGACAATTTGGGGTACGACACACCCGTGATAAAGAGTCTAAAAAAAAGAAACTTGTCAATTCCATTGATTATGAAATCAACACCTTCAGAATTACAAGGAGATAACTCATGCTCTACTCTTTAATCCCTTCAGAACAAGGAATCTCCTATCCTGATAATTCTTCAAAATCAACTGTCCATTGATAACCAAAACACAATCATTCCTGTATTTTACAAGGAATAGTAGTACCAGAAAAATTACTCCTTGAAGTTCACCCAATGGACCAGGGTGCCTGCTCTGGTACCAGTTGAAATTCTTCTGGTACAAGAGACACACGTAAATATTAAAATTCCAACATCAGAATAATGTCAAGACAAATGTTGCAACATCTGATATGACATCCTCAACAAATTTATAACAGAACCATAAAATGCAGAAAGATAAACTAAACATAGGGATATGTTAACCTAGTTCAGTGCAACATCACCTACTCTGGGGGCTACCAAGCCAGGAAGGAAGTCCACTATCAACAATATTAGTTCAAAGCTAAACTCTCTCATTTATAACTTATCGCATAATCCCTACTCAATGTTACTTCTACCAGGTCCTCCCTAGATATGAAAAATCGCTATCCCGCTTCCAATCATCGCAATGATATAAGAGATATCCTAGTCAAGGGTTGTCTATAAAATCGGTTACAATCACAACAACCTTAACAAGTAAAAACAGGAAGATCACACTTCCAAATAACAATACTTAGCCAAGACTCTTGACCAAGAACAATACTTAGAGTTGCTTAAAAGCTTCCTCCAAGAACAATACTCAACTCATTTCCTAAAGGCTTTTGAGTGAGAACAATAAGCCAGCCACATGTATCGAGTGATACAACAGTGACAAACACCTACCCAATACACAAGAGACTCTCAAAATCTAAGACTATTTTCTTCCCCTAATTTTAAAATTTAAGAAAGATAAAAAGTTGACACTTTAGGTTTAGGTCTTCTCTTTAAATACACTTCTTCAATCCATGGACTTCGATATTCTGAGTCCAAAAGTTTCTTGATGTACAAGTTGAGAGTTGTATTTATTGTTGTTATAGCTGGTTTTAAATTGAGAGTCGCCACCCTTAATTTTTATCTTAAGGAAGGGAATATAAAGGATAACCCTAATATGGTCAGAGATCCTAAGTTGTGGGACTCGTTCTTAGACGAAGGGAAGGTGTTAGGCATCCCTTATCTACCTTGTTCACAAGGATATTATGGTTTAAAAACACAATCTTTAAGAAATAGGGTTTTAGTTTTTTATTAAGAGAACTCGTCACGATTTTAGTCGCATGCCTACGTATCCTCTTATGAGGAATCAGAGTCCCAATTCGTAGCTTGTAGTTGGTTGATGTTTTTTATGGATTGCATATAATTGATTTTGAATTATCCTTGAACATTGTCTGGGTTGTAAGTTGAGTGATCGTAGATGCAGTTTGAAGTAAATTTTAAAAGTAATTCTATTTAATCCTTTTTTGAAAATAATCTTGTAATTTTGTTATGTTAGTGGAAATGGTTTTGGATTGGTTAGCTGTTTTGAGTTTCGATTTGATTAAAGAGTATGGTAGGACATAAAGCGGATGAAGTCTGATAAAATCTTTCTCATCACGTGGCCAGATATTAGTCATGCGTCGCTCGTCATGAAGGATGTGGAGGGAGCATTTGATGAGTTGTGTGGATTTTAATATTTTAATATTGAACAATTAATTGATAAGGCGTTTGAGCCAATCAAAGAATATGTCGAATGTGTATCCATCAATCCAGTGATTTGTAATATATTTGAATTAACGTACAAAACTATTTACAAGGTTTATCTTGAAATAAATGAATTGAACCACGTTTTAAAATTTTGTATTTTTGACATTTTTTTATAAATTAAATTAAGTGATTAATTAAATAAAATTAATATTTTATATCCTTTTTTAGAAAGATCAAATAATCAAATAGAATGAATAATAAATTAAATTTGTTAAATTAACCTAAATCCTAATCAAAATAAATAATTCTAATTAAAAGGACACCAGTAAAAATATAAACATATATTCACTTTTGGTATTTTTATATTTAAAAGGAAAGAAATATGTTCCTTTCAATATATATTTTTATATCTTTTCCAATTAATTAATAAACTAAAAGGAATTAAGAGAATGACAAAAAAAAACAACCTAAATGGGGTGGAAAGAATTACTGAAGTATAGACACACTAAATAGAAATAGGCACAGATCCAAAAAAAACTCCAATTTTCTAAACAAAAAATAATTAATAGTAATAATGATATAAAAGTAGTACGAATCAGTAAAAGGGTGTCTCCTATAATTCACACACTCAAGTTGACTTTTCAAATTTTCAAGACCCAATAGAACTTCGACATGTGGCATTTAATTTTAATTAAAAAATCAAACAACAAATAACACACATGGTATGTAGTAACAATCAGACCATAAAAGTGAAGATAAAATCTCAGTAACCTTATCTCTCTTTCTCGCCACAATCTGCTTCCTTATTTTCTCTCTTTCTCAATTTCCAATTCCATCAAAATCTTCTCACTCAATCAGGAATGAGCCGTCAGAGAGTGGCTTCGAAGGCGTGTTGGCCGTGCACAATGGCGGCGGTATGACGCGATGTGGGGGATGGATTATCGGCGCGGCATGGGGAAACTGGCGGTGGAATAGGATGAAGGGCGTCTGAACTTGGGTCGAAAACAGGTGCTTCATCGGAGTTGTCGCGGAAGCAGCTGAAAGGGTGCAAGGCATGAAGCTTGTGGTCGTCGTAGAAAAATCGCAGCGGCATCGTTCATTCACGGATTCGAGCGTGCAACTTTATCGAGACAGTTCGCCACTTTCTCTTCCTCTTTTTGATTGAATGTTTCCAATTTCTTTTCCTGCAAAAGTCAAAGGCACAACGATTTTTCCAGATTCTTTTGCAATTTCTTATTGTTTCTGCAAAATAGAAACAGAACTATGCAAAGATTTGTGTTGTTGTTTCAATTTTGTTTGGTTTTTTTAATGGCGGGATATTGCGGTTCATTGATAGAGTTTGATTCTGCAGCTACTACTTTCTTAGAGTTTTTACTGTTGAACATTAAAAGAACTAAAAATTTAAACTAAGAAAATTAAAGATAACTCTTAATAATGTGTTCATTGCAAATTGCAACAGCAGTATAAATACTAGGGTTACAATGATAAGAGTCACTAAGTCTGAATTACAAGACAATTAAAATAGTTTGTGTCTAAGCCACTTGAAGAAATATAAAATGACTAATAAAAATAATTATTAAGTGACATGGTCTTTCATCCAAAAGGGCTTATGTATTTTTCTTCTAGGCCTTTTATCACTACTATCCGGTCCAAATTGAACTTTGGTCTCAAGGTTCTCATTAAGTGCAGGCCCATGGAGAGTTGAAACATCAGGATTTGTTGCCATTAATGAAGAGGTATTGGTTTCTGTGAGAGGCGGTATTGGAATACCGTGTGAATCCCGTGGGCTGGCAGTAGTGGCAGACATAAGGGGCCCACTAGTTATTGATTTATCAAATCCCATAGTTAATGGGATACAACTGTGCGGTAGCTTGGCATTTGGAGAAACAACATCATCTATCCGTTGAGAATCCAACGGTGTAGTATTGTCCAAGGTTGTGGCAGTTTCTAAAGCAAGGTCGCATGTGTGCTTAAGTATACCAGCTTGGAAACATAATGGTTCTGAGTTTCACTTTTCAGTTTGGACGGTACATGCATAGTCTCACATTTATTTTGTACTTTCTCTTCTTCCTCAATTAGAGAGACGTCGTCGTTCCGTTTCCTTGAGACGACAATTTCTGCAGATTTTTCAACATCGCTTGTGGTCGTTTGGTTTGGAGGAGTACGGGTCTGGAGAGGAACAGAGGTAAGTGACTGTTCTGCATCATTTTGTTTATCCGAACTTATTTCTTTGAGTATCACAGGGTGTTGGTTGTTGGAACTAACATTGTATTATTGGCCAGGTGCAAGATCAGAAGGAAGATCGATGAAGTTTGTTGACGGTGCCAACCCTCTAAAGCGGCGAAGCTGGGAAACATGGATGACGCGATGGATCTTGGAAGAAGTAGAGAGGTCCAACTCATATGCCACCGCGCCGATCCGTCGTAGAACAGTGAAAGGACCAAAATATCTCGGTGAAAGCTTCTGGGAAGTGTGTTTTTGTACTGAGATCTGGCGATACAATTTTAGACGAAGAAGAACCAAGTCACCCACTGCAAAGGTACGATCAACCCTTTTTTTGTTTGCTTGGTCTGTCATGTATGCTCTGCTTCTTGTGAGATTGGCTTTTAAAGTTGTTAGAATTTCTTGTCTATCTGCTAAGAGTGTATCAACTGATGTGTTTGCAGATGCGCCTTTGGTGTAGTCTAAGAGAGTTGGCGGAGGACGACCGTAGAGGGCCTCAAAGGGAGTCATGCCGATGGCAGAGTGGTGAGAAGTCTTATACCAAAATTCTGTAAGATGAAGGAACTTAAACCATTTCCGAGGATGATCTGATGTAAAGCAACGAAGGTAACTTTCTAGGCTCCTGTTTACAACCTCTGTTTGGCCGTCTGTCTCAGGGTGGTAAGTTATACTATGTTTCAGGAGCGTTCCTTGCAACCGAAATAGTTCCTTTTAGAACGAGCTGAGGAAGAGAGGATCCCGATCGGAGATAATGGATAGGGGTAGGCCACGGAGACGGCAGATTTCGGCGGAGAAGCGAACCGCGAGGTCTGGTGCCGTAAAATGTGTTGGTAGGCCGATGAAATAGGCGAACTTGCCGAGTCGATCACAAATGAACCAAACCACTTTATGGCCAAATGAAGATGGTAAGTGAGTAATAAAATCCATAGTCAATTATTCCCAGACTTGTTTAGGAATTTCTAGGGGCTGTAGTAATCCCTGTTTCTTTTTGGCAGGTACTTGTTCCTTTGGCAGACAGAACATGTTTGGATAAAATTCTTGACGTATTTGTAAAGACCCGACCAGTTGAATGAAGATGAAATTATAGTAAGGTGGGCTGAACTCCTGAGTGACCAGCAGTGGGTGTGGAATGATATTCTTGGAGAAGAGATTGTCTGATTTCAGGAATTGGAGGTATGTAAATTTTATCTCTGTAGAACTGTTTACAGTGATTTCTGGTAAACAACCGCTAGTCCTCCAAACTATCGAATAAACTTACTGACTGTTATTCAATTTCTCTGGTAACTCGCAGGATCGACTAGATTGATCCTAGGACGTGTTGGTCATTAGGGTAACTCTCATGATCGAACTGGTATTCATGGTTAGTATTTAGAATCTCGTGTAGGTGTTTAACTTATTTCGACTTCTCTCTTAAAGATCTAAAGGTGCGGTCAAATAAACGTGCTCGAAACTAAATTGCATGAATAAAGGTCAATTGTAAAGACATGTAAAAACTGCATAAAAGACAAATAAATGACTTCGAATCGTGAAAAAGAACAGTTAATGTAAAAGATTCGAAATGTGAAGAAAGCGTTTAATGCAAGAAAACTGTAAAATGGCTCTAAGTGAAAAAGGTGTTCGAAGGATAAAAACTTGAAGATAAAGGCATGAAATGTATAACAGTTTCTGAAATGTAAAGTATTTGAAATGGAAGGAAAGCATTTAAATGTAAGGCATTAGTGAAAAGATTTCGAATAAAAAGACTTTAGATGCAAAAACTTGTAAATGGTATTGATATAAAGATAAAGGAAAGTACTGGAAATGATAAAGAGTTTTCATTAAATCATAAACATGTGGTGTTATCATACGTACATTGCTCTTGCATTCGTTTCCCTAGCCATGTGGTAATTTGAATGTTTACTGAGTGTTTTTGTACAATAGATATGACACACGAAATCCTAAATGCTAAGACTTCTATTTATACTACTTCGACCATAACAGTCTTGCTATAAGATTCGGTCACGTTCAGAACATGCAGAGCAATGCCTCTCTCTTGCTTCCATGTGTCTTCGAATGCTCCAGCGCATATATTTCAAATTTCGAACATCTCGCTTGCATTTGAATTTCAAATGTTTTGGCACTTCTTCGCTTCGAACGCACTTCTTAGACACAACCTTGTTGTCATTTCGAGACTTCTTTGGATATATTCTCATAATTGTCACTCGAAGCTTCAAGCTTTGATATGCCCATTCGAAGCACTGCTTCTACCATTTCGAAACATGACGTTTTGTTTCATTTCAATCGAAACGTCCAATTTACTTTGCTTCTAATAATACTATCAAAATCTTCAGCCAACAAAATGCCCCTTTAAAATATGTATTTCGATTCCTTTGAGAAATACTTATTTTAAACATATACACAAGATTTTGATGCGACCTTCGAATGATCGTAACATTTATTGCATTTGACTCCAGTCACGTCAATCATAACACTTTTTAGATTCCTTAACCGCCTTGAACCATTTCACAGTATGGTGCAGTTACAAAACAATGATTATCTTTAATCACGCCTATTACCAATGTTAACTTTACGCCACCTCTTCATCAAACCAACCCATGATTACCACGTATCACAACCTCACTCAGTGGATGCTTAAACTTCCACATTATAAAAACCCATCAACTTAGTCTTTTCTTTTTCTTCCCACATTCTGAATCTTTTCTCCTTCTTTTCTCACCGAAACCCTAAGCTTTCAACATTCTTCCAACAATGTCTTCTTCTACTTCATCCCAACTAAAAAAGTTTTCCAAAAAGAAAGGAAAGACCGCAGGAACTACAATGGAAAGCAAGGTTGTCACTTACCAAGGTCAATCTGTTCTTGTTCCCCAGATGATCTCAAAAGAGAAAGAAATGCTTTATGCATCCCAGGTACTTATTCCTACCACCGCTGCTGGCAAGAGGTTAGCTTTAATGGGCCCTCTTACAGTTTTTGAAATTTTAAAAGACACCAGAAATTTTTTCCCAGTTTGCTATAATTTCAAACCCCTGTTTAATAAAATGGACGCCCCTAAGGCAATAGAATCTTCTGGTTCAAATACCGTGGAAAATCCAATTGTTCCTCCTAAGGACCCTTTTGTATTAGACTATGTAAAGAGTAACTTCAAACCGTTTCGATCTTGCCCCACCTCCGACACTGCTTATCATAACTGGTTCAATAAGGTAGAAGCTAAGAAATCCAAGCAATGGGAAGAATTAGGTATCTATAACTTGATTAAGCTGTCGAAGCCAGGTTTTACTTACAGCCACCCATTGCTATTCGCGTCCCTATATTTCTGGGACAGTACTTATAATACTTTCCATCTCTCTGGTGGAATGATTACCCCTACCTTTTTTGACATAGCGGCCATTACTGGGCTATCACCAATAGGAGAAACATATATCCCAGACAACGAAGAACATTCGAGTATTATCGACTTCGAAGTCAAACTAGCAAGCTTTTCAAAGTTTATCAGCCACTATCATACTGAAGGAGACAGTGTGTCGGATGTAGAACACATTGCCTTCCTTGGCTTATGGCTGTCAAGGTATGTCTTTTGCAGCAGATCCCTACAGGTAGCCAGTAGGTTTATTCCTCTAGCTAGAGATTTGCATGAGAATCGAAGAGTGTGCTTGAGCGAATTGCTACTAGTTGATCTTTATGAAATCCTAAGGTCAGCTGTTTCGAGTCTAAAATCTCACACCTCCAAGAATATCCTGCTAGCTGGCCCTTTCTGGTTGCTTCAGTTGTGGCTAAATGCCATGTTCGAACCTTCATTGTCAACTGCCAACACCATTGCTGAACAAGACCCTGAAATAACGGATAGAATAATCGAAGGCACTAGGCTGCGAAGACTAACCCCAAATGATGATAAGGATGACTTCAAAGTCCTATTCTCAAAAATATATCATGATATTCTCCAAGAGGCATAAGTTCGAAGAGACCATGGCGCCTTTTGCTTCAAGGGCTCATGGACCTTCATGGTTCACCATGGCTCTCTCAGAAGCTGTCAAGAGCAAAGAGATTCAAGATGTATGGAGAGCCTTTTTGCTACCCAGACTAATCTCTTCAAGAATAACTCCTGCCAAGAATCAGATTTTCCTTTTCGCTTATCAGCCCAACTTTGTTTCGAGACAGTTTGGCTTGTGCCAACTAATTCCTGAACCCTTATTTCAAACTGAAAGTGCCATTACCTCTGGGCGAACCTTCAAGGCACGGGAAGCCAAACTACAGCAAGAACAATACCAAGGCTTTGCCCAGTTTGAGCTAATAACTTTCGAACCTACCCACCTTACAGCAAAGGGGTTTCTGGAATGGTGGACAAAGTTTTATCAGACTTATATGTTCGATACTCTTACTATTCAGCAGAAACTAACTGATGCCTTCGATGTGCAGGTACCATCCAAGAAAGGTATGTTCACTCATGCCAAAGAGATTAAAGCTTTTCAAAATTATTTCGAAACTACTTATGATCCCACACACTTGGAATCCACTGTGCATCAAGCGACTGAGACCTTGAAGGAAAAATTCAAACAAAAAGTTTCTAAGTTAAAACTTCCTTCAGGGTTGTCACCTGAGGATAGGTATAGGTTGGAATTCGAAAT